GCCACTCCACAAACAGGAGAAGCCACCAGGCATGTTATAAGTCACTGTTTAAGATGTTTTGCTTACATGGGAATGCCAAAAGTTATAAAAACAGATAATGAGTCTGGATATACTAGCAAAGCTTTCCAGCAATTTTGTGCTTAATTCCCGAGACCGCTGTTACCGGAACAGCCCATATGGCCTAGTCCCGCCCAATGCGCGTGGACCTGCCTGCCGAACCCGGGCTAGTGGCAGGGACGGCTGGGCCTTTGGGCCTTTGGGGAACGCAGCATGCTGCTGACTTGGGGAAGTAAAGCGCCTGCCTCCATGCTTTTATAGCGCCGATGAGACATGAGGCGAGCCCGCAGCTCGGGCAGCGGCGGCTCCTGAGCCGGCGGGACGCACAGGCCAGGCATTGGTGGCGCAGGCCTTTAATCCCAGCACTCAGGAGGCTGAGACAGGAGTTCTAGGCTGTAATGCGCTATGTCCGCACTAAGTTCAGCATCAATATGGTGACCTCCAGAGAGCGGGCGACCACCAGGTTGCCTAAGGAGGAGGAGTTCTATACCATGCATTGTCTGTGCTAAATTTCCTCATGTGTGATGCTACAGAAAAATCAGCCTCGGATCGCCTCTGACATCCATGAACGGCTCAAAATTATGCTCAAGCCTTATGGAAAGATCCCCTAACTCACAAATGGCACGGACCAGATCCGGTCCTCATTTGGGGAAAAGGACATGCCTATATTTTTGATACTCAGGCCAAATATGCTAGATGGTTGCCTAAATGCCTTCTTAATCCACCCAGGGAAAGCACCTGAGGAGCCTTCTAATTCTGCTAAATTTTAGATAAAAGATGCTGTCTTTCTGGCTACTTGCAAGTTTATCACCTTCAATTGCCATAGCTGCTGGAAGCCCTTATCAGATCTACAGCTACACCTGGATGATCGTCAACCGAGCCAACTGATGCTGCCAACGCCTTCACAACTATTGCAACCACCCCTTCCTATTTCCCCCTGATAGTTGACTTATGTGCTTTAGCCTTAGGGGCCTCTCCAGACTAGGGAACCCCTGACCATTTTTCCCCCAGGACCTCCCTCTTCCACTGACCTTATTTTATCCTTAATTAACCCTACTGTTCAGGCCCCTCATCAAGCCAGCCACTCCCTTATAGAGGACTCTTGGTCTGCTATTCTTCCCCCCCTCCCTTTTCTGACGGAATTGCAGGCATTTAATTCCTGCCTTGCCTGTTCTACTAGATTGATTACTTAAACTGTCACCTTTACCTTTTCAAAAACTAACCAGATTCATTCTCAGATTCACCCTCAAAAACCGGTTTTGGTCCATTACCATCGCCTAGCGGCATTAGATTCTGAGCTGCCTGACAATAACCCTCCCCCCAGTGCTAAAGGACTGGATTTTTCAGGCCTTGAACATCATCCTGTGAAGAGACTGGAGCACAATGGACAGTGGTTCCTGCAGCTGAAATACAGTGAATGCATACACTGGGATTTGCTGGTAAGGGGCAGAAGCATTCCGATATAACTTCTAACCCTCACCATCTCTTTTATCTAAAGAGCTGAGAGGTAACAAGACATTTAGGAACATGCCTGAGAGTGGAGATCCTCAGTTGGAAGCTGGGGTGCTTTGGTGGGAGGTGGACAACACAGCCTTATGGGTGGTCTCAGCCTTCAAGTTGAGGTAGACCTAAAGGAAGTGATCTGGATATTGATTTTGGTAAAATATTTTAAATTGTTTTCCCTTGTTTCTTATTCCCCTCTCTAATGTCAGAAGCCAGGCTTGGCGACCCCATACCTAGTTAGATGCCAGAAAGTCTGGCATATCACAGGAGATTCCGGATATCTGCCTGAGAAGCAACTAACACCTATCCCCTCCCCCATTTCCTTAGTGAGTGCCTGAGATAAACACAGGAGATTCAGGACACCTGCCTGAGAACAATTAACTCATTCCTCCCCCCACCTCCTTTTACTCTGCTCCTCCCTTCTCTTTAAAAACTCCTTGGTTTCAATAAAGTTGGCCTTGACAATGGAATCTGCTTGGTCCCTCTCCTTCTTTCTGGCCCATTATTTGCAGGCGTGATCCACCTCGAACTCACGAATTACCGGAGCCCCGCGGGCCGGGGCAACAGTCTGCTGTAAAGAGAGGCTTCCTCCATGACAGGTGGTGGCTACCCTTAGATCTAAGGATTTGGAGGCAGCAACCACAGATGAGAAGAACACTCGCTGTTTATCTTTCTGGGCCTGGGTTACCGCATTCAATAAGATCTTTGCTAGGTCCATCCATTTACCTGAAATTTTGTGACTTCATTTTTCTGCACAACTGAAAATAGAATCCCCTTGAGCACACAAACCACATTTTCACCACCCATCTGTCTGTTGAAGAACATTTAGGTTGTTTCCGTTTCCTGGCTCTGGTGAAAAGAGCAGCAATGAACACGGCCGATTGTGTCTATTGAGTCCTTTGGACATATGCCAAGCTCAGTCATATGGTAGATTCGGGTTTTAGGTTTTTGAAGATTCTCCACACTGATGTCCAGAGTAGACGATCGACTTGCCTTCCTACCAGCAGTGAATGAGAGAATCTGTTTCTACACAGCCTCACCCGTACTTGTTGCCAGGGGATCTGTTGACGTTAGTCATTCTGACTGGGGTGAGATGAAATCTCACAGCTCTTTAGTTTGGTTTTCCCCGAGTGCTTAGGAAGACGAACACTTTCTGAGGTGTGTTTGCAGGCCCCTCGGGTTCAGGTCACTAGTCCTGTCAGTTGCATGAGCTCTTTAAAGACTAGTCAAATGCTGCTCTCCAGGCGTGCATTAAACAGCTAAGGCTTGCCTGGAACTCACCAGGTAGCCGAGGCCTGCCTCAAACTCAAAGAGAGGGGCCTGCTCCTGCCTCATGGGGGCTGGGTTGAAAGGCTTCCGCCACCATGCCTGGCCTCATGTCTTCATCTTACTTTTTTTATTATTATTATTATTTATTATGTAAACAACATTCTGCTTCCATGTTATCCCTGCACACCAGAAGAGGGCACAAGATCTCATTACGGATGATTGTGAGCCATGTGGTTCCTGGAAATTGAACTCAGGACCTCTGGAAGAACAGCTGGTGCTCTTAACCACTGAGCCATCTCTCCAGCCCCTCTCTCCAGCCCCATCTTAGTTTTATTATTCTCCTTCTTCAAATGTAATTGTTTTTCCTCATCTGCCATTCCTTTCCATAGAAAGGTAAGGTAAAGCACAAACAGTGAAGCCCAAACACAGATGTGTTTTCAGAAATGACACAGTCACTGCAGAACCATCCCCGGACCTCACCCCACCCATGCCTTCCACAGGCCCTCACCCCACCCATGCCTTCCACAGGCCCTCACCCCACCCGTGCCTTCCACAGGACTCTCACCTGGAAAGCAGGCAGGCACTAAGCCTGTGTCTTCAAACTTTCTACCTTTCAGCCATCTTCTCAGTTCTATGAATTCGGGTCGGTGGCTCTCGTTCACTGTCAGGAGAGGCAGGCAGATTCCAGGGTTAACATCACTGTGTCAGTGGGCCAGCACTGCAAAGGCATAGATCTGATGAAGTACATCACACAGACAGATGGCAAAGGGAGTAAATCTCACTAAAGATGAAAATGGCACATGCTGGGTGGGAAAGCCATTGCCATGTGATTACTTCAATGCATGCACAAAATCATCGGATAAAATCTAACATCAGTCTGGTGAAGACAGAGAGAAACGTCCATACCCAGATAAATAACACAGTAACAAAAACCCCTGGGGGACAGGGGACAGTGTCTGCCCCACATTGGCAGTCCTACGTTCCATTCCCGGCATGGTAGATAAGGCAGCATCCACCAGGCTGGCTAAGGACCACAACAAAGTACATCACACCACCAATTGAAGACGCTTTATATTCAGAGAGAGAACAGAGCAAAATGACAGACAAACAGGAGCAGAAACCCAGGGAAGAGCCAGGGGGGAGAAAGTAGAAACAATGAGTAAAATCCATTCGTCCTCTCACTGGTGTAAGGACACCATTAAAACGTCTTCTTTATGAACGACTCTCTGAGCAATGTTCTGAGGAACACTATGTGAGCGGGCCTTCTCCACACAGGGCCTCTTTCCAGTCCCGTACCTCCTCTTGAGTCAGAACTTCGTCTTCGCCATCTGACTCTCCCTGTCCTTCCTCTTCGCTGCTGCATTTTAAAACCAGAGCCTGGGTCGTGCTCAACCTAAAACAAGGAGAGCGGAGGCTTTACTCTCTGGTGGATGAGAATTAAAGACCTTGGTAGCTTTGAAGATACAGATACATATTTTGGTGAATGTTTTCATTTTTAAGAAATACCTTTCTTAAAAGTTTTGTACACCAAACTTTTTACTAAGTGCTAAATCAGGGATCCCTGCAGTAACAAATACCCATAATGGGCCCTTCAGAGCAGTGGTTCTTTGGGCCACGACCCCCACAGAGGTCTTATATCATATGTCCTGTACATCAGATACTTACAGTACAATTCATAAGATTAGCAAAATTACAGTCATGATGTAGCAGTGAAATAACTTTATGGTTGGGGGGGGTCACCACAGCATGAGGAGCAAGGGCAGCAGCATTAGGAAGGCTGAGAACCACTGCTCTAAAAAGAGGAAACAAAACCATTTCGAGGCCTAACTGACTGAATTCTCCCAGCTGATTTCCTAGACATAGCCTTTGGTGACTTTGACAGTTCAGTGCTAGTCAACATTTACTACAGTGCCACTTGACAGTTCTTAAGAACACACAGGGACTGGAGATATCATTCAGTGCATAAGTGCACAGTACACACACACGATGCACAGGCCAAGCATCCATACACATAAAATAATAATAAATACAAAAAGAATACACAGTTACGAGGTGCCCATCGGAGGCCGTCTTAGAAAAAATAAACCCCCAGCAGTGGGAACTGGATTTTTAGACTCTAGGATCTAGAAATAAATATAATTAAATTACAGAGGAAATGAAAACCAACACAGAGCACAAGCCAGAGATGACCAGATGAGCAAATATGACTACTGTATTTCTGCATTAGTCCCTGAAGAGCCAAAAGGGAAAACTCCAGGGAACACAGACCACAGGGTGGGGACCAGCTGTAGGAATTAACAGAAATAAATGCATGCATTTTTGGAAAATGTATCCGCTAAGATGTGAAACCGTGCAAGAAATCGTGAGTAAAAAAAAAATAAAGTTGAAAATCTTTTTAAATTAGAAGATCCCTGGGGTGGGGGGCAGCTGGAGAGATGGCTCGGTGGTTAAGAGCCCTTGCTGCTCCTGCAGAAAAGCAGGGTTCAGTCCCAGGGGGTCTGATGTGCTGGCCTCCCTAAGCAAGGCACGCACGTGGTGCTCAGATGTGTGGGTAAAACACCTCTACACATAAGATAAAATACACCCGTTTGGGGGCCTGCCTCTGAGCAAAAAGGATGCTCTGACCCTACAACAAAACGAGCTGAAAGCATTCTCAAAAAGTGAGCTTTTTCTGCCCTGCACCGTCCAGCTGGATACGAAAGTGGCATGACTTCAGCGAGTCTCACATGTCTGACATGTACCTTACCAATGTAAATGATTTTAAAATCAACCTCTTAAAAAGAAGAAAAGAAACGCCAGGGCACAAGCGGGCCTGCAGCAAAGCCGCGCAGGCAGCTTTAGTCATCTACGCGGGCGGGGACACTTGCTCTTACCAGTCTGGAGGCAGCCGGTGCTGTGATGCCGGTGCACACGGAAGTGCAGTCCCACCGCAGCCCCGTTCCCCCGCGCCCCGCTTCCCACCAGCACGCTTGGCGCCCGGCGCCTACGCAGTGTTCCAGCCGGAGAGTCCGGCTGCGGGCAGGCGCCGGAAATGGGGGAGGCGGAGAACTCGGGGAGGCCAACCGGACCCCGGACCCCGCTGCCGTTTCCCTGCCAGCCCCGGAGCCCTGTGAGCCGCGCGCACGGACCACACGCCAAGATGGGAAGGAAGCGGCTGCGCCTGCGTCCCGGCCGCGCGCATGCGCGGTTCCCCGGGGTTCCACCACCATCCTCGCTCGCAGGCTCGCACGCTCACACACGTGCGGACAGGGCTCCCAGCCCGCACTCCAGAGCCAGCGGGGGAGTCTTCCTCACCTTGCCCTTTCTCCCTCCGACCTCCTGCCCCCTCCACCAGGCTGGCGTACCTGCCAGGACCCAGCGTACCACCGTGCCCAGCACCCTATCCCCACCTGTCCCAGGACTGTTACTGGAGTCGTGATGCTGTGCCCAGATTCCGGGACCCCAAAAGAACCCGCCAACAAGGAGACGACTCGCCGAAAGGTTTCTTTATTGACTCGAGGATACCAGCTGCAGCAAGGACCCCATTCGTTCCGGAACAAATGGAGTCCCCCAGTTTCGACTGAAGTGTTTTTTTAAGGGAAAATTGTAGGGCTGGAAGCCCCAAGATTATAAAACTTCCGTGGTTACACAGGACAGGGCAATGGTTGTATGCTTCAGACAAGGTGCAATTAAGCAGGATGCTGCAGATGAAATGAGTTTGTTAATTGTCTCCTGGGCTGGAGACTTCTACATCTGATAACCATCTGATCCTCTTTGGACCACAGGAATGTGGACACCATTTTAGGGTGTGATATCTGGTCTAAGGGCTTGAGTCCTGTGGACCTTTTTTAACCTTGTCTGCTGGGCTGCCTTTTGGGAACTCAAGAGTTTTCTTTCTGGGCTTTGGAGTCTGGATTTTAGACTGTTATTAATTTTCTCCTTTCAGTTACAGTTGAAGGACTTTAGAATTAACAAAGAAATAACTAAGAAGAAAAACAATCCTCTCACCCTAAGAACAGGGAGACCTGACTTAAAACCTAACCAAGGTCACAATGACCCAAGCCCCTGGAATTTCTTAGCTGGCAGATATAACTCCCTTACAAGGCCACAAGACAACCTAACTGAATACCAAGAATTCCTAGAGGGCCACCCTGCCCTAGGGTCATGAAGATAGAAACAGACTATCCCACTGAGCCAGGAGACCATCCGGCCCCAAAGATAAGAGATCTCCAAAGGATCTGTGACTCTGGTCACGTACCCAAACCCCTAAAATCCTATGGTTTTTTCTCCTATAAAAGGAGCCTGCTTTAGAGGAACAAGGCTTCTTCTTTGTCTGTCGGACTGGGAAGCCCGTTTGCGCAAACGTCCCATAATAAACTTACCTCTTGTTTTTGCATCAGCTGGACTGGACATTGAGTGTTTTTGGGGGGATCGTCCGATTTGTAGAGACTCCTCAGTCCGAGGGTCTTTCACAGTCAACGTATAAGGAATTAAAGTAAGAATTAAGCATACAGGGAGACATAAAGATGAGAATTTAGCCGTCCTCACACAGCAAGCAGCAAGCTTTATTCAATCCCAGAGAAATAGTGTTTCTACTTCTCATCAGGGCACAGGACTCGGTCAGTCAAGGAGCAGAGGTCCAGAGGAGACACATCACATGCTTTAGGCTGGGATTTTTGTGGCTAAGGATGCAGAAGCTGTTAGACCCTGGAAAACTCAGGCCTCCGGGGTCTCAGCCCAGGACCTCGGTCACCCCAATCACCAGGCAGATTCGAAAGCTTGCTGCAAACTGCATGAGGCTTTATTATTGTTTAACGAGCTAACCCCATGTTCCCTCGGGTCTTTCACTCACCTGCCATGGCAGACGGCTAGAAAAGACAGCTCGAAGGGTCTGCATAGAGAGCTTGTAGGGCAGCCTAAGGGGAGCGTCTAGGGGTAAGCACAGGCTCACGATTGGTGTGCCTCCAGGCTTGGAGGGCTTGCCCTGTGTTGATTGGCCAATTGGTTGTTATGGCCCATAGGCCCTCCCAGGGTGGTTGCTATGCTCTGCGCATCATTGCTGTGCACTTGTCCGTATAGCACACCCAGAGCCGTAAAGCATAGCGCCCCCAGCTAACTTCTGATTGGTTCCTTGCCACGAGGCAGGCACCTAACCTCTAGTGACCAAGACAAGGTCAGAAAAGCATGAGTTACTGTCATGGCTGCCGGAAGGGGCAGGCGTCTGACCTTAGTGACTAAGACAAGGTCAGACAATTACGTGTTCTGCTGTTATGGCTGCCGAAATGGGGAGCTGGTCCCTTCAAAGGGAGGAAAGGAGCTTGCTAAGGGCACAATGAGGGAGTTAGCCATTTTGACTTTACAGGGTCTGTTGTCTCTTTTTTTCAAACTCTGGATGACTGGAGTATCAGTATCAGCTGCTTCTTGATTTGTTCGATCTCCAAATAGCTGTTTGCGTCCAATTTCAGTGTCTGGGCATTTTGGGGGGCAGGGGGGATTCCAGACCCTTTTTATATATGAAGGATGGGGCGCGGGACTTCTGTTTGTCTACTTCCTGTTGACAGGGGGCATCGTTTTACAGGTTTCTCAGTTCGGTATAACTGTAAAAGAAATACTGTTTTTTACTTTGAATTCCGTGATGGACTAATGATCCAAAATAAATTTGTTTGTTTGTTTTGTTTTGTTTTTAAGTTTAAAAGACAAGGCAAAAACATAAGGACATGGTGGAACAGTGCAGGAGGAGCAGGGTGACAGGGGCCAGGAGCCCACCCAGGGATGAGGCTGTGGTTGGGTTGATAGTATCTGCTCCCTAAGCTGCTGAGTCCCATAATGAACCATCTCTGAATTGTTGGCATGAAAACGGCATTGTTCTGGAGGAGAATGTAGATCCCTCTGTAGGATGCAATAAGGAGTTCCACCACAACCATGATGGCCATCTTGAATGGCATTGATCTGACTTCAAATATCTTCAATGCATTCAGGCAGTTTTTAATACAACGTTCAAATAATAAACCTAACATGATAGGGAACATCCTGCCACGGTTCCCAGAAGGGGAGAGTAGAAAGGAGAATTCCTCTACGGTGGACCTGAATCATTGATGATGCTATTCTGCAGCAGGACAGCCTTGAAGGTTCCTTATACGCCATGAGCAATCACAGTGTAGCCCTTGTAACCAACTAATCCAGTGTACATCCTTCTAAAACTGGCTCGCTCTGACACAAAGTATCCAGAGGTGTTGAAATTGCAGAGCAACTATTCACTGTGGTAAGAGACAGCCACAAACTTCTAACTTATCCTGAGTGAGAAAACAGTGGCCAAAGATCTTGCACTGTGTGACTTCACCTACGTAACACTGCTGATCAGTGAGGAGCAATGCTAAAGTGTTTCCTCAAGGGACAGCAACAAGGAGGAACCACTAAGGTGGGGTGTCTTGACTATAATAGATACACATCTAAAATTCCAATGAGACCATGTAGATGAAAGGACGTCACTGTGAACACAGAAGAAAAATCTGAATAGGAAGGAAGATTGTCTTATTGTCGATATGGGGTATTTTACTATGATTTTCTAAATGTATATAATTTCTGACTTATTTCTTAAAATTCCAAGAGATTCTCCAATTATTGCCACAAAATTTTGAAGGGACAGGTGCTGGACACATGGTTGGGCATTAAAGAGCACTGGGTACTCTATGCCCAGTACCAGCATGGTGGCTAAAAACATGTACCTCTGCAGGTCTTTGGATCTGATGACTAGTGACCTGGCCTCCAATGGCACCAGACATTTACATGATAAACGGGCATACATGGAGGCAGAATACACACACACACAAACACACGAGAGTGACTTAAAATATTTTCACCTGGGAAAAGCATTTATATTTCCTGATTTTTTAAGTTATTATGCCCATGAGAAATTCTGTGTGTGTGCATGTCTCTGTTCAAGTGTCTGTGTGTGAGTGTGTGAGTGTGTGTGTGTGTGTGTGTGTGTGTGTGTGTGCGCGCGCGCACACACACCTCTCCAAACACCACTGCAAACCTTCAGAGGGATCACAACAACTTGTTGGTATGACTTTCTTCATCCCAATTTTACGTGAACTCCAAGAATTGAACTTAGGTTGCTGAGTGCTCCAGGCACTGTCCTCACCTACTGAGTCATCCTATCCTTGACTGTGCTTTTCATGATTAGTAAGACTTCCTAAGCAACTCACTAGAAGCCTGCCTTGAAATGGCAGTTTACATCCAATCCTTATGAGACAACAGACGCTTTTGTCGTGGGAATGTCTCATATCTGTCTCCTTATTTCACTGTATTTCCAATCATACCGCCCCTCATGCAGATTGTGGTCAGTGCAACTCAAATGTCTTACTTTAATTTAAATGACCACCTGTGGCAATTACCAACCTACCAAAAACTAACAGAATAAAACTTGATCTTCAGATCCCGATTTCCAGGGTGTTAGGAAGCACTGAGGATTTCTTCCCCTCCTGAACCAACTATTAACTTTGTGAGCTCAGAGCATCATGTAAATGTGAAAGGGAACTAAGGTGTGACTCCAAGTGCTATTTTGAGTACAAAGGAGCAGGTTCCCTGAAGGCCCTGGCCTCTGTGCTCACCTCAGTGCTCACATCCAGGTAAGGTAAAGCACTAGGAAATTTGTAAACAGACAACCCATGTGGTTAGTAAGGATTGCTTCCTGCCCAAGGATTAACCAACACCTTTGCTTTAGCATCCTAAGTGGGAAACCCCAAATGAATTCCCATCCCTAATCCTTCTCACCAGTTTATCCTACAACTCTAGATCCTTTGACTTAATGGGCCAGGAGTTATTTTTCTAGACACCAAAAAGACTAAGGACAAAGATCCAATCTCCAAGTTAGGGAGGGAAAACAGTGCAACATTGATAAAAGCACAGAGGAAGATTCACTCACATGGGCAAGGTCAATGTCTCATTTCCGGGTGGACAGCTGCAGCAGCCTCTCTGCAGACTTCTCCCGCAGTCTCGCCTGGCTGTGGCTTCCAAAACTCC